CATTTATTTATCAATAAACTTATAGCAAATACCTTTTATCCCCAAAAGTTACCTTCCTATTTATATCAACAATATAAATATGCATAAATACACCGATGCTTCATTAAATGGCCTATTAAGGAGAATAGAAAATTGGCAATTACAATGACTAGAATATTAATTATATTTGCTGATTTTGCTTATGCTGGCGCTTTATATTTTGCTTTACACAATATAATGTCCATATCTGCTATATCGTTATTCGAAATTGGGCTGTGTAAGTGCAATATGTGTATTTTTTCCCTTTGGCCTGGTTTTATACTGTCTTATTACAATATCAATGTTATCATATTGCAATGTTTGCAGCACTAGATCTTAAGGTATATGTTTTATCTGATCTAATCCGAATATATTTAGCAGGAGCTAAATGATAGGCAATGGTTCAGATATAATGAAAAAAAAGAATTGTTGGTATATGTGTAAGTATCTATATAATGAAAAAGTAGTCGCGTTTTTAAAAATTTAATTAAAGATAAATTAATTGTGATAAAGCCTCATTTGAAATGTGAATATGAATTGATATGTGGTGACAGAAAATTATAATTTTTTTAGCAGTTAATTGTTTTATACTCATTTTTCATTTCACATTTTTACTAAGATCTAACTTCCAATATTCCTCCTTGTCCATCACTAGTTCGTAACTTTTTGTTCAACTGCTAAAAGCGTTTGCCTTTAAGATCCAGTTATACAATCTATACCTATTTTTATCCAGGCATATTCATATTTCTCATAATTTCACCAAACCTTATTCCTCCCATCTAATAGTCTGCTTAGTTTATTGTATTTTACCATCAAAAAATCCGCAAATCTAAACTTGGATTGGTTCACTCTACATGATCAAATAGTTGGCATCCACCATTCTTAGCCAGCATAAGGAACATATTCATACTTTGTTAAAAAATAAATTCGAGATATCTAATAAGTCCAAAGCATCTGTTTTCTACCTAATCCTGGCAACTTCTGCAATATATCTGAAGAGATTCTCCTCATTATTTCTTTTAAAACCCACATCCTGGGACCATATAGCGGATTAACGAAATCAGCTTTCTTATTCTTTCGAATATTTACTCCATGAAAATAGATTTACTGATAGCTGGGTTTTTGATATTTTTCGCAAAGCGAGAAACAAGTAATAAATTTCGTTATTAAGTAGAATCACGTTAATTCGCCTCACTTGTAAAGCTAGGTATTATGAAAACTGCCGTCGTTTTTTTAATATTTTTAAAGCTAGCTGCTAAGCATTTTAAGGTTAAATTTATACAAGAAAATACATATTTCCTACTTTATATCAATCCTCTTCTTCTATTTTTACTATTATAATGACCTATAATGAACATATATATTTAACAGAGGTTTATAGGCATTAAATAAAAAAGGGTAATTCAATCGTTAATTTTTTTAGTCATTCTATCGTAGAATTTTACAACTATATTCAAAATACTTTTGTAACTTTTTCTAATTATATAATGTTTGTCCTTTAATTATTGTATTTTTAGTGAAATTTTAATTATTTTCTTTTTTTCCTTTGTAAAATGGAGTATCTAAATCGGCATAAAATTCTAAGCTAAAACTTACTAGACTTATTTGTTTAGTATTCCTTCCTTTTAATAACATTCTTTTATAGAGCATGCGGATTTAAAATTATTATTTTTTATATTTGAATTTTTTTTTTATAAGTTTTATTTATTAAACCTTGGTTTTTTACTTAGTTGCACTTTTGAGAACTTTTGAGATAGCATTAGACCTGCTATTAAACAAGGTTATACAATTTCACCAGACATAATTTTTTCATCAAATAACACTCGAACGACACAAGATATAATCATAGATTGCATCTTAAATCTTTCTATGTTATCAAAACCTTTTACTCCTGATCTTTTCAATCGTCCTTAGAGGATTAGACACATTATACCTATGCCCTCAATATATTTGCACACTTTAGTGATATCCTTTCTGGATTTTTTATCCACTTTCAGGCTTTACTCCTATTAGCATTTTAATAAGTTGCAGATAATAAACCACTGGTCAAAATAATTATCCTCACATAATTCCTTTAACAATTATTGACGTTTAGAGTAGCCTAGGTCTTGCCCTATTATTATTATTATTATTATCTGTATTTAAGCCCATTTTGGGGATGTAATCACAACGCACCTGTTATGAGAAAAAAGGCGTTTGACTAGTTTTTAATAGTCATCAAAATTTATTTCATATTGTTTCTTTTTTTTAAGGTAAATACCTACCAAATACTGATTTGGAGACGTGTGTATCTTTGTGATTAGACTTTTCAAATGTTTTTTTTATATATCCGTATTAGGTATGAAATATTGCATCAATCCACATCTTTATTAATTAAGTAGAACTCTAAAAAAGGCCTTGTCTGTCTTAAATTAGACTATATTTGTTAATTAGATATTATTTATAATGTGGCCATTTACTTTGAAGTAAAAATACGGCAAGGAATAATTTTACATGTTAATCTTTTAATTGGAGTATTATCATCAATTCTTAACTGATTTCAATGCCAAAATGTCTCCAATTTGCAGAAAAGAGGAGATTTGGCTTGCCTATTTCCCCCATTCTCAGTGCCTATAACATATTAATATCTCGAAAGTATTTAATAATTTAACAATTAGATTGAATCCCAAAAACAAATAAATCAAGTTTCCCATGCATTATTGTCTATTTTGTTATTTATTTTCTAACACAAGTTGTATTACCCATTTATTTAAGATGATTCTTTATGTCGGAATAGTAAAATTGTTATTGAAAATTCTTCTTTATTTAACTTCATGCAATTGGAATCATTTGCTTTGATTCGTTCCATAAAGTACTATCGAAAACATGCATTTAGCTTAGCTATGACTCATTGCTTTAAAATAGAAAGTGGGTACGACCAGACACAAGGATATGGCTATTTTAAAACGAGGCATACTAAAACTATTACTCAAGATTACTAATCGGCTTAAAACTTATTGACAACTCTAGCACAAAAACTTAGCTTAATACGAACTTGTATGTATATTAATTTCTAGCCTATCCTCTAATATTACTAGAAAGAAACGCTATCAAGTTAGGAGGAATATTCCAATCAGATAAGCTTGTATTTAGATAGTTTGTCACTTTATAATTACTTGGTGTTATTCTTGGCTTTATCCTAACATACTGCTGGGGTAACGCCTAGATCAAAAGCTCAATCAAGTCCGACAATTTGTGAATTTTTCAAACCTATCTCATAAGGAACAACAGAAACAGAAAGGCACAAAAGTTACTATTAGTGTACTGCTATCTCCAAAGAGAGACAAATCTATAAGTGTGTTATTGAGAAGCTCGCATACATTTAGCTAACGTGAATATATACGCAAGATTGCATATGTAAACTTTAAATAAAAAATTATAATAAAAGCAGGTTCATCGTATTTTCTGGAAAGATTTTTATGAATTGATTTGAATTTAATTGAGAAAGCGAAGGATAGACTTATAAAACATATAAAAGTTTGGTAGAAAAGAATAAAAGAGAAATAATCCAGCGTAAAGAAAGAAACTGAAGCAGCTTGCCAAAAGTAGGACAGGTCAAACTCAAATAAAAATGTACCCAAAAAACAATAAAAATTCTTTTGGAAGAGGCCTTTTTAGTTGGTAAAGGTAAATGGTTTCATGGTCAAAAGCACTTAATAAAATATAAAATCCCAGATAAGGCGACCAAGATGGAGTGGCCTTTGTTTGGTCGCAGGCTCATTTGGCATACTAGTGCTGATTGAACTTGTTCTCACAACTTGGTCGGAGTCTCAAGGAGACCTTGTGAAAGGTACTTAGTTCCGTGTCCTCTCACAGAGTATTCGTGATTTCCAGCATTATACACTTGACTTGGACTTGTCATCTTCATTTAGTAACTCTTTGTTTCCACAAAGCTTCTCAATTGGTCACTAACTACATTCATCATCTTCGGAAGCCACTATGTCAATCAGAATGAAGCTAAACCTGGTCAAAATAGTCCATAATTCAGCCTTTAATAGAGCTTCTATTTGTGAAAATGAAGCCTTGGAAATTACAAAACTTAGGATATTCTAAGGATTGGTATTTATCAGCTATTTTGTATTATTATGCGTATTCTCTTCAAAAGATTGTTTCAAAGAGTAAAAGTAAGCAAAAATTCAAATTTAAATTGTCACTTGTCACTCTGCATGGACTTTGAGATGAGAGAATTTTATGTTGTTTATTTCCAGAAAATTTATTTATCATCACGTCTTTTTTGAAAAGAGGAACAGTATACACAAGAAACCGGCTATATCCTTATTTAGTGTTGGAATTTAGGAATGTTAGGAAGCACAATAGACTGCTGAATGAATATGTCGGGTAGCAACCTTCTATTTTATTTGCTTTTAGTAGCGTCCAGGTTACTCATTATATCCGTCTGATGATTCATTCTTGCGGGGGTATCTTAGTAACAAGAATTTAGAACTATACAAATAGGAAATCCATTGTTTTTAAAGTGAGTATGAATTAAAATACTTCTTATTCGTTGAATGAGATTTATATATCTACAGCATTTTTTGCTGATAATTCTTTTTGCTAGAGCTATTTGTCGAAATTCTAATTCTTGTAAATAGACTGAATAGTGTACAGAAGTTAGCACACATACACAAAGTAAAATATATGTACCCTGATTACTATGAAAGATAATCAATTACATTATTCTATATAAATCCATATCATTATAGAGTTGGTTTGACCCTGTTTTCGCAACTTGGACGGAGTGTCAGGGGGACCTTGTGGAACGTACCTAGTCCTGTGTCCTCTGCCAGACTTGGACTTGTCACCTTCATTTAGTCCCTCTTTGTTTCCACAACGCTTCTCAATTAGTCACTGACAAACTTCAGAATCACCTTCTGGCTGCCTATGATCCTTCAATTCCCTTCCTTGATTATGCCATAATAGGGAAATTAGAGCAGATCCTGCCCATGTCCTATTTCTCGTCCCCCCCCCCATTGTGATCCATCCATTGACGCATTGTATCTGCATTAAGGCATAACCGCTGGTTTGAAAATGCACCACTTCCCTTTCTTTCCCTTGATTCACGAAAAGCACACTTCTTTCGGCCTTCAAGTTGACACTCCCTTCCAATTCTAGTGTACTATGATATGCATGTGTTTGCTGACTGGAATCCAGTGTGGACAAGCATGTCACCAGTCACCTCTTCTTCAGGCACAGACACGAAACATGCTCACAAACACTCATACACACACACAGGAGACCAATATCTGGTCTGCTCATACATTTGGCCCTGAATTTTATACCCTACGTCCCTCATGAGTCGCTTCTTCGTGAGGTCTCTTACTATTGTCGACCAATTGTCCTGGGTCAAAGCGTCTTCTTTTTGATGTCTTCGCTAAATCTGCAAATCTGTACCGGCAGTACACAAAATGATCGCTAAATCTGCCCTCTCCTAATCTCCTTTTAATCATGTTTCTTTGGAAGAGAATGTCCAGGGCCTCTCTGATCTTCCATCTACTCGTGCTTTCAACATATGAGGCCAGTATCCGTTGAATTCCCGTCAATTGTGTGGCCGGTAAGGGCAATGCATTCGGCTATCTCCGATCTTTTCGCATCCAATTTTCTGCAAAGTTGCTGGTGTTCTTTGATCCTTGTGCTGGTTGTCCTTCTCAGCTCTTCGATCTATTTTTATTTACACACCTTGCAGTCTGATTATTAAACATCATAACAGTCCATTTAGTTGGCTTCCTCATTTTCTGTGGGCTTACAGATGAAAAGTGTTATTCTTCTCTTCATGAGGATTGTTAGAATGTTGCATTTCCAATTCGCAGGAGGGTAGACAGTTACATTGTTTTTCCTCTGTTCTTCTTGCTTTCATTTCATAATCTCCAACCTTCCATCTGTTCATCAGCACCCATTTGATGCGTTTTATTGCTTCGTATGGATATCCTTTTGCAACAAACTTCAGAGTTAATAGATCCGGCTTCTCTTATAAGTGATTGTGAGTAACTTTCATCAGTCAGTCGTAGTCTTCTTACCACCATACTGGAGAGTATTCCAATCTTTCTTGCATAAGTGTGATTTGATGAGAAGTTATGTGGTATTCTAACATGCGATATCTTACGGAAAAGTATTTTTTTGATATTTTTTTTGGAGTGAAATGTGTTCACATCCAAGAAAGTTAAGTGTTCTTCTCTTCTACATCCAAACTAAATTTGACACTCATCCATTTCGTCTATGAAGATCAGGAACTCGTCTCATTTTTCTTTTTCATGCAACCAGCTTGCGAGGCACTCATCCAGCAATCGCGTAATTTCTGTTGGCTGCTGAGGTAAAATTTCGAAATTCTCCCCCAAGTGGCCCATGAATAGATTAGCCAACCAAGAAGAGAGTGTTGAACCCATAGGCAGACCAAATATTTGCTCATAGATCCGGCCGTTGAACGTGAAATAGATGGTTCTTCTTGTTAGTTTGATTATTCGGGTTTTGAGACTGCTTATGCATTCGATCTGACTCTATTATATCATTTTCTTTTCCCAAGATCTCCAGTAGGGCAGTGAATGCTTTTTCTCCTGTAATGTTATTGTACATAGACCTTATATCAAAGCTCACCGGTGCCTTTGAATCTTCGCCCAACTTCGTATGTGTTCTTTGCTGTATTTGATAATCTTTCATTCACTTGTGTTAATTTGAGGCAGATACATTTTGCCACTTCATGTATTTGTCTGTGCGTCTTTTTGGAAACAATTCTTAATGATTCTCCTACTTTCTACGCGTCCGGCAAACCCTATGCTAATGGCAATCTTTCATCCTTTCATATCATTGCATTCATTCTCCATTTGTCTTTTTCCCCTTTCCTCTTCATTTCCTTCAGCATTTATTGCAATCCCCACTTTACTTTAACTGTTTGGTCTTTTGTTATGATGCGAGAAGTTTAAATATTCCCGAGAATTCATTACATTTTCTATGTACATTTCTTCCTCTCCATCACATCTGGAGCCCCTTCCTTGTCGGCCTGTAAGACTATTTGATCGTTTCTCTTCAATTCTGTATATACCCTTGTCATATTGTCCCTATGCTTGGGTTCTTGATGCGCCATGAATTTTGAGATGATTTCCATTTTAAGCTTTCCTTTTGATACTTGAGGTAGCTTATCAGAGGTATTTATCACCTTCGCTAAAATGTCATTGATTGCCTTCTTTCATTCCGAAGTGAAATATTTAATTTCTTCTGAAGGATCTCTGTTGTTTCCAGTTTAAGAGGGAAGAAAGACAGATTCACTACTTCTTCCTCATTTCTTTTCTGAGCTGCCTATAGATCCTATATTTA